GACCTGTTCTTATAAAGGAAACCGTACTGAAGGATGACATTAAAACAGCGTTATATGAGGAACGAGTGAAATGAATGAGGGAAGAAAAAAGAGCACAATCTTTGAAAATTAGACTAGAGCAAGAACTGGAGATGCGATGCAAAGCCATCCAAGACTTTGCCAAAATAAAACCAAGCTCTTCTAATCACATTCCGCACATCGATTATCACCATTTATTTAATTTAAACACTAGGATTGGGAGTGGAACTTTCGGACGTGTGCACTTATATCGCTATCGAAATGATAATGTAGCCGTGAAGGTGTTTAAAAAATGTTGAGGGCCTCAGTGATGAAAAGCTAAGAGCAACGGTATTCCGAGAAGCAAAAATTATGCTTTCTGTTACCCCTCATCCAAACATAGTAAAATTGTTAGGATATACGTTTGTTCCTACAGCCAATAGTATAACATCAATCTGATGATAATATTTATTTAAAAAAATACATGAATTGTAAAATATTATAGTTTAAATGGAATTACAAATAATATATTTTAATATTCTGATATAAAAGTATGTTTGATTAAACAAATTAACTCATAATCGTAAGAAAATTCCTAGGCCTTTATTATGAATAATTCATAAATTGATAAATACAAATAATATGTACTTGATCTTCACTTCTGAATCTGTAAGAGAAAAAAAAAGAACACGGTAAAATAGATAGCTATCAAAACAGGTACTTCTCTTTCAAAAAGTTGGCTAATTTTTATAATGTACATAAGCACAGAAATATCGATCAAATGGTTATTTTACTAAATAAGGAGTGAAAATATTCAATCCCAACATGATGGCCTGTAATTTATCACCAAAAGTCTATTTTATTCTATCCGAGTTGCAGTCTGCTGAGTTGAAAGAGTGTTAATAATCTTCTTGTCAATTTGTGATTTTCTTCGTCATCATCGTTAATGTTATGTTTATCTTCACCGCGGTCTTGTAATTATCATAATCTTGTAATTATAAGTAATCATTGACTTACTTACACAATCTGTGTCTAAATCTTCAAAAGACTGAGTAGTACCCTAGGCATAAAAAAAAAGTTTGAAAAATAGTTTATATGATCATCAATTTTGTCTTTATCATCTTTAAAATCAATAATAATAATCATCATCATTTTATAATTACAAGTAATCATTGACATACTTACAACATCGATGTCCAAATCCTCAACAACCTGTGCTGTACCCTAGGCATAAAAAAATGTTTGAAAATTAAAAAAAAAAAACAGTTTATACTTATGATCATTAATTTTCTCTTTATCATCTTTAAAATCAATAATAATCGTAATCATCTATAGAGTACATTTATTTTACTTTACCTCATCGAAATCTTTTAATATTTGTAAAGCTTAACTTCATTGCTGTCATAATCATCATCTTATAATTATAAGTAATCATTGACATACTTACAACATCTGTGTCCAATTCTTCAGCAACCTGAGTTGTACCCTAGGCATTAAAAATGTTTAAAAAACAGTTTATATTTATGATCATTAATTTTGTCTTTATCATCTTTAAAATCAATTATAATTGTCATCATCTACACAGTATATTCATTGTACTTTACCTCATCTAACTCTTGTAATATTGTTAAAGCGTCAGGAGGGATATCACCAGCTGTATTTGCTGCAATTAAAAATAAAACTGCTTTGTAACATTTCATCTTTTGCCTTTTTTTTTTTTTTTTTTTTTTGGCAGATTCAATCGAAAGAGTAAGGAGCATTTCCAACACCAGGTTAGTCAGGTTTCCCCTTTAATCTCCAAAAAACGCACAAATTTCAGAGAGCCCATTGGTGCTGAACAAAGGCTACTCTACGTTACTTGGCAACAGGTGATTCCCAGATATCACAATCCTTCAATTTTCTTGTTGGTCGATCTACCATTAGCAAGATCATAAAGGAGACATGCACTGTCCTATGGACAGTTCTCCAATCAACATACATGAAGATGCCAAGCACTGCTGATGAGTGGAAAGAAGTAGCACAGGAATTTGAGAAACAGTGCAACATGCCGCATGTTATTGGTGCCCTAGATGGGAAGCATGTCAACATTGAATGTCCACCAAATGGTGGTTCTCAATACTACAATTACAAGAACTTTCACTCTATTGTACTTCTTGGGATGGCTGATGCAAATTATTCATTTACGTATATAGATGTAGGAAGTTATGGGTCATGGAACGATGCAGCTATATTTCGAAGAACAGTCCTCTTTAATGATTTGGAAGAGAAAACACTGCCTATTCCCACACCATCAAGAGTGGGTAACAGTCTGCTCTCATATTACATTATCGGTGATGACATCTTCCCACTTAAAACCTACTTGATGAAGCCATATGCTGGGAATGGCTCACGACCCCCCTAAGTACTTTATCCGGTCATGCTTGGGTGCGTATGCACCACTGAACACCAAACCAGCGCCCTCTCTAATAGCCAAAAGCAAACTTTTTGAAACTTTAGTTTGTTGAGTGACTGAGTGAGTGTTTTTCCCACAACTTTTATAATAAAAGTTTGGTATATGACATCCTTGATAACATTTACTTTTCTGGTATTCTCTCAAATGTGCATTTTATTCCATATTTTAATAATCATCAAGTTTGCTACTATCATCATCATCATCATCATCATATTAGTACATAAATACATGGTATTGAATAATACAAAATGATATTCTTGAATTGTGTTCTTTATTTATACAATGTACTAAACAAATTTAATTGAAACAACATTTGGACAGACACATGTCTTTTTTTCTTTCCAAAAATACAACTTTACAATGCACAAGAAGCAACATATTGTTTGTTAATGTTTTCCAACTGTTTTCTTTTTGAAACAAATCAAACATATTAGTTTGATATATAAATTTAAAAAATAATCAATGATAACAATTTGCACATATAAAACCTTATTATTAAACAGAGCTGCATAAAAGTCTTTCTTTCATTTATCTCATTTATAAATCATAATAATATAATAATATTAATAAGAAATAACAATTTTTAAAACAATGATTGCTATTTAAAAAAAACCCACAAATTTATAATACATATAAGTAGCCAGTTAATATAATAATACATCATTGTTGTCTATTTGTCTATTGCTTGTAACAACAACACCTCGTCTACAGTTTTTTTGAAATCATCAAAATCTTTAAAATCTTCTTTTTCAAATCCTGGAGTGGTTGACTTTTTAGTGATCGGACAAAAGGTGAATATCTTTTGCGTGCTATACATCGTTTTGTCTCGTGATGGGGTGTAACGTTTGCGCTGACCAGCACACTTTGGTTGCTTACATGCTGAGCACGGCTTTCCTGATCTTGGGACAGTTGGTTTAATCGGAGGCGCTGGAGGTGGAGCAGGAGAAAATTTGAATGGCAATCCTTGGCTTGAAGAAGATTCCTGCTTAAAAGTTATTGAACTTGCAGACGGTTGTGATGGTATTACCATGAGTACTGGAGCACCCAGTGAGGGTTGATATTTGGGGATCAGTGTTGGCAAAGATGAACTTTGTCGAGACTTTAATGTCTTTTGGTCATTAACATCTGTTGACAAAGGTTGCTCTTCTACTTCAACATCAGTCCATCTCCTCTTCTCACCAGGTCTCTTTCCAGATGTGTACTGCATTTGGGGTCGCTCAGGTTGTGGCAGTGATGTTGGCAAAGATGGAGATTCGGGCATCGGTTGATCGGAAAGAACTCGTTGATGGGTAATGACCTTAGGAATTGCTGTAGCCTTATAGTTCGCCTTTTTTTCTTCTTTTGTAATAAAATTAGTTATAGATTTGTTATTAATTTTTGGTAAAGGAATGGCTAGGGAATACAAAACTGGATCATCTCTGATACGGTCTACAATCCTTTTGTATTCCCCTTTGATGTGACTTGCAATCTTTGTGGGTGATGAAAAGTGGCTGACACCTGGTCTGTTTTTTAGTATTTTTATCAAAAGATACAACAGGCGCGACTCATCTGTTATTTGTGAGGCTTGAGCATATCGCATCCAACCAAATTTGGTCTTCTGGGCTGCACTGCTCAGTGGTGTGTCTGGGCCAAGGCACCGTCCAAACAAAGTGTATCCCCATTTTGATTTGTATTTTTTTACAAAATTTTTGGAAGACTTATCATGCTCATGAATTTCTTGAGCAGCCTTCGCAATTTTTTGCCTAAGGGGAACTGGGATAATGTGGCTGTTACTCTCATCAGCCAGTTCAAGTAAAAGTAAGGCAAGACGTTCCACCTCCTCATAACCTGGAAGATGTAGATGACTTGGAGACATCAAAACATCCTGCAATGCTGGACTAACCTCATCAGCAACACTCTCCTCTTTGGTAAGAATAGCATGTTGAGAACTGAAGCTGCCAAGTACATCATTTTCCTCTTCGTTAGTAGATAATACATCAATACCTTCATCTGTATCCTCATTCTGATGGCTATCACTCCCACTTTCTTCTTCTTCTTCTTCTTGGGACTGCTCTTCTGACACTGCAATAAAAGAACATAAGTTATTTGTATGTATGTAGTGTGTGATGGTGGTGGTGGTGATGATGATGATGATGGTGTTGGTGGTAAAGATGATAATGATGGTGATTATGATTATGATGATGGCAATGATGATGATGAGGAGGAGGAGGAGGAGGGGAGGAGGAGGAGGAGGGGAGAACAGGATGTAATTAAAATGTTACATTCAATCAGTCTATTATTTGTATGATTGTATATATTGCTATTGTTTATGGGCGGGGAGAGGGTGGGGATGGGAACACCTACCTTTTTTGATAAAGTAGTCTTTGGCCTTGAAGTCAGATGACTGACAGTACGCATATTCCACTCCAAGTAGTTCTTTCTCTGCTGGGTCATCATATCTTGCTGGGTAAGGCATTGGTGCTGCAAAGTTTGGCTCAAGAAGTTGTTCTTTTCCGAACAAAACATTTGCTTGATGATACAGTCGCTGAATTTGACGAGCATCCATGCACAAGGTGTGTCTTCCTTGTCCTCCAGCAACTTTCAGGGACTCCATTCTGCAATTCCACTGCATTGCAAATGATATGAGGTAAACCTAAAAAAATAATGAATCATATAAACACATAAACAAATTGCATAATACAGTATATATTTTTCTGCAATACAAATAATATATCTATAAATAAAATTAATTTTTACCTGAAACGGCATGATACCACAGTGTTGTGATGGAATGGCTTTGACTAAGTGAGCATGCAGTCCTTCAAAGGAGTTGCTTCCTCTTCTGCACCTGTATTTGTTCAGCTGAACACCATTTAAATGCACCACCTTGGTAACAACATATAGAGGAATGCCAGGTGGATCCTGCATTGGAAAAACATACATTATGTCATAATTGGTCAATGATAATACTCTTAATTCAAACATTCATTCATTCATTCATTCTATAACAGCTAATGATTAATTGTTAAAAATTTTAATGATTTTATATAAATAAATCTTTCTATACATATTACTGTCTTTAAAACTTAAAAAAAACATGAAACAAATTGATTTATTATTATCTAAGTTTTAAAAATGTATAGAATTTTGCACACATTAGCAAGTGAAATCCAGTACAGCTTAATTTTTATCTGAGATATTCCTGCTACTAACCTGCATACAGCTAATATGCTTGCTGGCCTTTTCCCAGTATGCATCCACAGCTTCGGAAGACTTGAATAGCGGAATACCATCTACATCAAGACCCGCTGGTCCTTTGAATTGTTTGAGAATTGCTTCGATGGAACATACACTCTCCTGAAACGAATTTAAATTGAGTTTTCATAAATTTATTCTAAAAGATTAAATTGCCGCAGCACAGGTTTTTAATTTATTAGTGGAATTTAAGTAACATACCTCTACACCACACGTTATACGACGAACATGGGATTTCCGTTGATGTGGTTTTACATAGGTAATCATATCCATATCACTGTATTTTGAAAACATCTCCTGGTTTCCATTCCTCACTGCTTTTATGAGTTGGTCCATATCAGCTTTGTTGTATGCGAGTATTGCTCCTGCAAGTGCACTCATAAACACACCGTATTTTGAATGACTTTTCTTTATTACGACAGTGTCCCATCTATGCAGCCAGTGTCTGATGTCTAGGCGCACTACCATACCATCCCATTCCTCGAAAAGTGAATGAATCCACGATGCCCCGCTTTCACTAAAATAAATAAACAACAGGTTATATTAAAAGTGAATAATAATTTAATGTTCACAGTAATTATTCCTGTTTGAAGAAAAAAACTTGGTGAAAGAATGTTGTCGGAGAAATAAAAAGAAAACTTTGTAAACGCAGACAAATGTACATAAATAAATAAAAACAAAATTAAAATAGAAAAGAGCAACTTACCTACAGCAATTGTTATCGGCATAGATAACTTTAGGGGTTGGTGCATTTGCACGCTTAAATCGGGCAATCAGTCCTTGAGCCATTCGTCTATAGCAGTCCTCGGACTCAGATGCGACGACCACTGATGTCAAGAATTGGCCCCACTCATTCAGGACACTGGTAAGATATTGCATTGTCCCTTGACCATCTCCATAGATTTTTTTAAGGATCTAATAAAAAAAAGTATAACATTTTTATAATCCATAATTAAAAACAACTGGTATGTTGTACAGAGGTATTTGATTAAAAAATCAATTTGTGATTTTTTTTTTATAATTAGTAAAGTTTAGCAATTGCAAGTAATGATACATAAGTTAAACTACTGTATAACAAAAAAATACATGCAAAGTGTAAAATCATTGAGCGATTTACTCAACCAATAAAGTGCTGTGCAAATGATGGCATAATTTTATTGAGTAAAAATATGTCACAATTAATGAAGTAATGTATTTTCTAATAGTACACTGTAAAAAGAAGTGTTTAAGATTTAAACACATGAATAAACACATATCTGTGACAGTTTTTAAACATGTGATGGCATTTATTTAATGAACATGTTTAATAAAAAAACATTCAGGATGTTTAGTTTTATAACATTTACACTGTTTAAATTTTAAACACATGTGTTTAAATTATAAACACTAGATATGTGTAATTTATAAACACCCAAAGTATTTAAAAAGTAAACACACATTAAAAAGAAAAACACGTCAAAACGTTTTTAAATTAAACACTGTGATCCATTTATTGCCTGTGACAGATTTAAAACATGTGACTGTGTTTAATGATTATTTCAAGTGTTTATTTTTGTAAAATGTGTTTAAATTATCAAACAATGAACAACTGCATTTTCACATATTTAAAGACCTCACTGTCTAAAAATTCACTGTTTCATTTCCTACCGAGATTTTACTTTTTGTTATTAACAAATTCAATTGACTAATAAAACTGTTAAAATCAAACAAAATTACATGTTTTTATCATTTTCTATTGTTTCTATCTTTTTAAAACTACAATTATTATAAAGCATATTTTGCAGTCAGAGGGTCTTTAACACCAGCTTCAAATATGAATATACACTGTCAATGAAATAAAAAAGGGGGATTTTCTTCAATGCAAACCAGTATTAAGAATTTAATTTTTTTTTTTTATAACTGCTTGGAACAATCATTTCATAATAGAATTATATAATATTCACAGGTCTTGGGGGATTCATAAAAAAAGAGAAAAATCTAAATTTTATAGTTTAGTTCATGCCTTTTGACACTACTGTTTACTTAAATATTCTGTTGCAAATTTGTGATATTTGCTTGACATAATACCATCATATTTTTCGCCTATCAGGTATTGTTGCAAAAACCCCAAGACCTGTGAATATATCTTAGGGTACTCAAGATCAAAGACATAATACACTCCAAGTAGCAACAACAGTGCATCTGTCTCTTATACACATCTAGATGTGTATAAGAGACAGTCACCATCCTCCTCACCTAACAGCATCATCATTATAGGCCCTACCCAATTGTTTTATCAACATACATCGATTCTGTTGGCAGTGTGATTTCTATATATTGAGTGCAATTTTATTATCCATTAACTGTCATCATTATTGATTATTTATTTAGTTTTTATTCCCGTACTATTGTTTACTGTTGTCGTTGTCTTCATCTTCATCGTCGTCGTCGTCCTCATCTTCATTATCGTCGTCGTCGTCATATTATCATCGACGCCGTAATACCATCCTCACTCCTCGTAATAATTATGTCCAACACCTTCAACTGGTTAGCTTATTAAACTCGATTTTGATGGTAATTTTATTATTGACTGTCGTAATTATTAAAAATTATTATACGTTTATTCATGTTTATTCCAGTACTATTGTTTCAGTTTAAATATTTAATCAATTCTCCGAGGCAATGGAATTCATTACTACGATAAAATCATTATTGTCTTGCCTGTGAAGATTTTATCTTTCATAACGTTTTCTAAACATTTTAAGAATTTTTGCTTTAACTTTTGTACCTTTTTACATTTGTTACATTATTTATTATATTCATATTTTTATACCTGTTTGCCTGTTCTTTTTTTTTTTTTGTAATT